CATTTTTCACGAGCGGGGGGAGGCACTTCATTCTGTTGCCCATAATATAGTGTACTTTAAAATTACTTATAAATAAACATTTCCATGCTAACAATTCCTAATTAATCATTACTAATGACATGTTTTTCAAATGTCATGACTACAATATGTTAGGTTAATTCTCTGAAACTCCTGAGTAATTAAAAGGTTAATAATATTTTCTAAGGGTGATGGTGAATAATACCTACACATAGTACTATTACAGGTGCAACATTCCCATCCTCCTTAAATCTGCAGAAACTGTCTTTGTGGTTACCTCTTCACAGAGTTAAATTTCTCTTCATAATTTACTTAAGTGACATGAGAATTCATTAATGCAGAAGTGTCACAATGTTATTCCCTGATGCACAACACGCCTCACCCATTTTCCAATTAATCCCACAACTTCCCAAATTATCAAGAGAAAGCAATGAGTTAATTTCATCTCACTTTTTGAAAAGCTGGGAAGGTTTAATACCTTGTATTTAGCTTCTATGACCAACAGATGGCGCCTACCTTTTCGGTTTCAAATGACTGTACGTGGCTATCTTCAGAGTTGCAAAAGGCAAGTTTTTGAGAGTGTATAAAATGCGTTTGGTTATTTATTTTTTCATATCCCATAGAACTTAACTGGTTACAAAGATGGATCTAAAAAATATTTGTTGAATTTTATTTATCTGACCAAATTTCTCAGGTATATCCAACTTCTCTCTAAAAAATTTTATTTATAAGTTTAATTAGCTGAGCCTTGCTTTCCAAAAGCCAACTGAAAAACGCTAAAATCTAATACATATACCCAATTACACTGCACCAGAATAAAGGGTAATTAACATTGGCAACCTGGAATAGTTTAAATATGCCATTCTTGATAAATATAAAAATGAAGTACCTATCTTCTCATAGTTTGTTTTGTATAGGGTGCTCTTGCTGACTGAATTTTGAATGAGTTACTACTGCCATCAAGTGTTAGAATTCATCCTTTTCAATTCACACAAATGCACAAAAAATAACACCAAGATAGTAGTGTGTTTTCAACTTAACAGTTTAATGTCCTATGTAACATAAAGCATAGCATAACCTATGCTGTCATACAGCCTTTAATGGAATTTCAAAATGCTGCATGCTATTAAAATCTCCCAAATAAAGTCATGACTAGTTACTATGAAGGACATATTTAACTCAAGTTGGTCTGTGTGGTGAACAGACTCTAAGGTAATCCCCCAGTGAACTTCCTACTTCTTGGTATTCATGTCTTTGTGTAACCTTCTCCCCTTGAATGCTGCTAAGACCTGGATCTTGCTTCTAACCAAAAGAATATGACAAAGATGGTGGATGTCACAAATGTCCATGTCAAGCCCATACTATGATACATACGCACGTGTGTGTGTGTGGTGTGTGTGTGTGTATTTTCATTGTGCTACGAAGCACTAAGGAGATCTGCTTTGCTGACTTGATGGAATGAGCAGCCCTACTGAGAAAGCCCATGGCAAGGAAGTGAGAACAGTCTCTAAGAATGGCTGTTGACCTCCAGGACCTATGGGTGGCCTCCAAATCTAAAGGCATCCCCCAGCCAACAGACAGCTAAAAGGCAGGGCCCTCACTTATATAGCCACGAGGAAATAAATTCAGCCCATAACATTTTCCCAAATGGAGCACCCCAGATGAGAACCCAAGCCAGCCAGGTGCCTTGACCTTAGCCTGGTGAGACCCTGAGTAGAAGACCTGACTAAGCTATTCCTGGATCCCCTAACACCTGAAAACTCTAATAATAAATGCATGTTATTTTAAGTAACTTTGTGAGAATTTGTTACACAGCAGTAGAAAACTAATACTACATACGAAAACACTTCATTTTGCAGTATTTAAAGAATATGGGCCAATTAAAAGAGGTCTTTAAAAATTCCTTAATTGCATTTCTGAAAGTTACGTTTAACATGCTCTGGTGGTAATTTTCTTGGGTGATTTGCCAGGACATGAACAATTTGAATTACAATGTCAATCTACTGGGAAAAAAAACCTAAAAATCATAAATCATAATTTTCTGCTTCTCTTAAGAAGAGTAAGGATGGAGCAAGAACAATACCTTGTTAATGTTCTTTAATAAGGACAATTAATATGAAATGTATGTCACCATGGAAAAAAAATTGTACAAAAACAATGTCTTTAATTATCTGTGAGTTAATCCCTTTAAAACAAGGAAGAAATTGATGAGAATTCCACTACAGCAACATGGTCAATTTCTAACGTTCCCAATTAAAACCCAGTATGTATACCACATATGTCCTCAGAAAAATAAATCTGCGGTATCAGCATTCCAATTTGAATTAAGCAGAGTAAGGGGAGAGTAAGCACCCAATGTGTGATTCTCCATCCAGAAAGGGACACTGGGGGCTAAAAGTGTCAGCATTCTGCACTTTGAGTCAAGCAAGCTTGTCTCCAGCAAACCACAGAGCAAACAAAATTGAATGAAGCCTGTGGAATCTACAGGTCCCACGGCAATGGTTGGAGTCCTGATCCAGGATCCCCCACCCTGTTCTCAATTTTCAACCGGGAAGGCATAAATGACCTTTGCAGGCTTCGGGGCTTTCCCACATTTACTTCTCTGTCATGTACAGGAGGCTTGCACAGACTCGGGTTCCCCGCGGGCAATGTTCCATTTTCCACAATTCCACTCACCACAGGAAAGCAATAAAAGGACATACTCTGGGATGGTTTTCTCTAGGATGGAGCCTGGTAGCTCGTCCTTGATGTTTCTAATAAGTGGGAAAAGAAAAGGGCACAAGGGCAGGGATGCTGATTTTGGCATCACACACAGGGTTGGTTATCTTTACATACACTGTACCAACTTCTTTTTTTTAATACTATTTATTTTTTTTAATTTTTTTAAAGATTTTATTTATTTATTTGACAGAGACAGAGACAGAGACAGCGAGAGCAGGAACACAAGCAGCGGGAGTGGGAGAGGGAGAAGCAGGCTTCCCGCCGAGGAGGGAGCCCGATGTGGGACTCAATCCCAGGACCCTGGGATCATGACCTGAGCCGAAGGCAGACGCTTAACAACTGAGCCACCCAGGCGCCCTGTACCAAGTTCTTTTAAAGTCCTGAAGTATTTAAGTATGACAGTGATGATAGCTCACAGCTACTGTGCACTCGTGGTGGCGTACCTGCGCTAGCTGCTTACTTAACCTTTAACGTAACCCTATGGAATAGGCATTATAACTATACTCTTGATGTGGGTTAGGAACCTGAGGTTTACAGAGGTTCATCATTGCTGAATTGAAGTTGAAGCACATTTTCATTAACAGATTTCAATTTTTTTTGAGCAGTTTTAGGTTCACACTAAAATGGAGTAGGTTTCCCATATAGAGAGATTTTCCATGTACGCCTTCTCCCCACTCATGCAGAGCTTCCCCCATTACCAACATCCCCCCCCCCGCCCCAGAATGGTACTTTCCTTTCAACAGATGGACCTGCACTGACATATCATCATCACCCAAAGTCTACAGATCACATCAGGGTTCAGGCTTGATATTGTACATTTTATGGATTTGGATGAATGCATAATGACACATATCCACCATTATAGTATCACTCAGAGTAGGTTCATGCTAATTTAAATCAAAGCCCATATTCTTCACCATGTTATAAAGACTCCCAGTGTATGTGTTGTCTGATAGACAAAGGAACCTACCAAAAGACATAATTGGCATATTTGTATTCTCAAGAATAAACCCACTGTATACATCCTGGTACTATTTATTTAATCAGCGGACATTTGCATGCTATGTTACAGTTAGCAAAGTGTCTTCCCAAAGGATTTCGTGTACTCGTTACAAGAGTCCTACTTAAGGTAGATGGGCATAATAGTGCAGCCACGTGGTTAAGAATTTGGTTCGGGGGCCAAAGAGGCTTAGGTTTAAATACTAGCTCCAAAGTTCCTTGTCCCCACGACCTTGGGTATATTAACCTCTCAATTCCTGATCTGTGAGGCTTGGTAGCAATGCCTACCTCACAGAGGTACGTGCCATGGGCCCATGCTTGCTGCAAGCACACTCGATGAAGGTTCGTGGTCGTGTTTCACGTATGATGCACTACAACCCCCAGGAGTTTGAAGAGTGTGCACAGGCCATAAGGTAAGGAGTGGGGCCCGGTTTTCTGACTCTACGGCCTTTTCCTCTATCCCCTCGACTCAACCTCCAAAGGTGGAGGATTTACGTTTTCCAATATACAAGTTCTCCCCCCCTTCCAAGGGGTTCAGCTAAAGGTTCATCATCTTTATCCCCGCACCTCCAGGTGGTACAAAGGTTTCAAATTAACTGCCCCAAACGTTGTCTGAGTTGGGAAGCACAACCCCAGCCTGGGGCCCACTTTCCCTCTTTCAAAAACTGCGTCACAAGCCCCCTGCGAACATTCACGGGGCACCTCCTTCCACCCGGAACCCCCCTCCTCGCACAGAGAGAAAGACCTCGGCCCCAATTGGCTATCGCCCTGGGCAACCAAGGACGCGGTGGGCACGCGGGGGCTCCGGCCGCTATTTAAAGGCTGCCGCTGCCCCGCCACCTCAGTCCGGCCAGGACCGCGACGGTGAAGCACCTGGGTTGGGAGGGAGCAGCAAGGTAACGCGCAACCCCTGCCTCCCCGGTTCCCAGCCCGCGCCTCCGCCGAGGCGGGTGTGTGTGGGACCCGGGAGCGGGTCTCACCGTGCGTGGCCCACCAACACCTTCCTCCCTCACTATCCTTACCCAGACCAAGTCCCGCCCAACCCACCTGGGCAAGACAACTTGGGTGCGAAGGACAAGAGATTACGAAGGAAGAGCGATCGAGCAAGCGGAGAAGAGGGCTCCTCCTGGAGAGAGAGGCCATCCCGGTAGCAGGCACGTGGGGCTGCGCCGACTGACGAGGCTCTGCAGAGCTTCGGGTCTGGCCAGCCGACGACAGCTTCTGGGACGCTTCCATTTACACCTCCGGGAGCTCCCTGAACGATGACCCAGACCCTCGACAAAAGGGAGGACCCTCTCAACCTGGGCGGCGGCTGGGCGTCCTCCGCCCCGTTACGTACCTGGTCTACCTGCCACCGAAGGCGCAGGGGCGCTCCGATATACAAGCGGCGCTACCGCTATGGTCCCAAGTCTGAGTACGAGCCCCCCAGGAAACAGCCGAAGCAACAGCACGGTCCGGGCCCTTGGTTCCAACCACCCCGACGGCCCTATTGGGCCGTGTACTCTAACTGGGGGCGCTGGGGAGGGCCCTGGCGCCCACCTCCAGCGGGATTCTGGAAGCCTCCTGGCCGAGTGCAAGTGATCCGGGTGTTTGGTCTGCACCCGCTCTGCCTCTGCTGCTGCTCCTGCTGGCGCGGGCCCTGGAACCCCGGCTGGGCGAGGCCCCCCGGCAGGAAGAAGCGCTGGGGCCGCAGGGGCCGCGGCCTGCGCCGCCACCCTCGCCGCTCCTTCCCGAGGAGCCCGCCCGTGGATCTGAGCACGCTGCTACGGCCAGTCAACCTGTACGGGTGGCGGGCCCCCGGCATGCGGGCGCCGCGGAACACCACCCAGTTCATCATGAACCAGATCTACGAGGACATGCGGCAGCAAGAGAAGCTGGAGCGCCAGCAGGAGGCGCTGCGGGCGCAGCAGGCCCAGGCGCGCGGCGCGGCCTCCCCCGAGGGCTCCTCCGGGAACGACGCGCCCCCCAGCGGCGGCGCGGAAGACGCAGAGCTGCAGGAAACTTCGTACAGCTTCGTGCGGAATCCCTCTTGGGTCTTCAGTCCCGACGCCGACAAGGAAAACCAGTGTCCCGCCGCACAGCTCGGGGAGGAGGAGGACGACGACGAGGAGAAAAAGGAGGAGGAGGAGTGTGACGAGGAGGAGTGTGACGAGGAGTGCGACGGGGAGGAGGAGGAGGAGAGCGAGGAGGAGGAGGAGGAGGAGGCAGAGGCCGGAGATGAAGAGGAGGTCGAGGAGGCTGACTGTGTGGAGGAGGGGGAGGAGGACGAAGAGGAAGAGGAGGACACAGAAGAGGAAGAGGAGGGGGCGGAGGAAGAGGAGCAGAGCGAGGAAGAGGATCATTTACCTCTGGAAATGCCTTTATCATTCCTAGCGGGGGCTGAGGAAGAGAGAGAGAACTTTATAAACTGTATTTATGTAAGCCCCAAACCGATCATTCCCGAAGGGCCACCGGAAGCTCTCCTCAGGGTGGAGGACATTAACTGTTAGACCTCAGGAGAGGGATTGAGAAGGGGATGGAACTGACTTGAGGCTAAAATGGATTAGCAACTTATTAAAAAAAAAAAAACTAATTAAAAAGTGAGTTCCATTAATAAACGTACCTATGTAAACCCCTTCTTGGGCCATTACAAAATGTTTAAAAACTGGTGTGTTTCTTCATGACTACGGGTGGGGGAAGGGGAGCTTTCAAATATAATTTAATTGGAAATGATTAAAGGCCGAATATTTTATTACTGCAGTTTGAATAGTTTCATTTGGCGTTTTCCCCTCTAGACACTTGAGATTTCTTTTTCTTTTTTTAATTCTGGCAATGCTAAATTAATTTTTTGGGGGGGTAACAAATTTATTCATCCGTCTCCTTAATGAGCTTAGAATCCACAGACATTTTGGCTGTTACGTGCTTAAGCAGCACATGCCATGGCTATGGAATGCGTATCAGTGCTCTTAACAAAGTAGTGACACCACTGAAAAGTATTTTTCCTTGTGGATGCTCCACCTTCAGAGTTCATTTTTGAGGGTCGTGTCGTGATAACCCCCTTCGCAGTCTCTTGTGGCGTCGCTCATTTATATTCCTTGTTCCGCAGTGCTATGGATCTTCCTCAGAAGAACATGAAGTTGCTTCTGTGGAACTGGTTATCTGCCATGGCCTCAACAACCCATAAATCCATGCATGAGAGGATGCCCCATGGTCAGAAGTCAACTTGTACATCTAGTTAAAATCCAAGGTAACTGCAAACAATGGAACATAGCTTAGATTTTGAAGCCATGTTCTGAAGCCATGTTCCTGGATATATTCCTTGTCCTAAGTTCACAGGAACCATAAAAATAGTTTTTGCAGAATGGATTTTTTTTTTTTTTTAAGGCTTATTGGCCTTTGGGGGGTGGAATATCTTATTTCTTTCCCAGTTTGTCTTCCTTAGAAAGGAGAGTAAAACAAAGATGTGTAAGTGCAAGCCTGTGGGGGCTAGTCTCTAACGTCTAAACCGTTACCTACGGAGAACACATTATTCAAAGCAATAGCTTTCATTCAGACTTTTTTAGGAAGTAATAATACATTTCCTCCTGGGCACTTAATTCTCATAACTTAGTAAAAGGTTCCATCCATAGCATATTTCCAGGCTATCCCTAGATGAAAAATTTGAACCTGCTTTCTCAAAAATTACATTTTTTGACAAACTGTACTTCTAAGTATAGTTTGAACCGCAATTTAGTATTTATTTGGTGAAGAGAAGACTGTATGGTGATATCTTACCTGGATGTTGCTTTTTACTCCTATATCCCAGTGTACTACAGCTTTTGGGGTGATAAGCTTAAGCTCTTGGAAAATAAAAAAAAAATAAAAATTAAAGGGTTAAATGAAAGTACTCTGTTTTTCACTTCTTATTATTGAAATAACAGAAATCTATTCAGCAATACTTTTGTGGTCAACAGGATGAACAGAGGTAACAGCTAACACACTGTAGGAATTCTAAAACGATGCTGAACACTCCAAACTACAGCAGTGGATAACCAAACATTTAATAATACTCTAAAAGATCATGACTTTCTACAAGATGCAATTTCTGAGTGACCTATAAAAGTGGTTTAAAACTAGCTACCCATAGTACTATTACTATGCTAAAGTATATGTAGGGGGAAGCCAAGAGTCCTTCCCCTGAGACTGGTCCACGAATCCTTGCAAATCATAGCTCATAAATACTTTATCCAAGACATTCAAATATTCACTAAATCGTAAGTATGTTCTCATTAAGGATTTAGGATTTCATTTCTTCATAATCACATCTGGACAATTCTCAGTTTATTATTACAAAAGATTCTACCTTTGCCTTAAAAAAATTTTAACACATTAATTACCTCCACAGGCACAAGGCATTCTTCACTAGCCCTTGTAAAGGACGTAAGCATGAGCAGTGCCTCAGGAATTTCCTCTACTTCCCAACAAATAGTTACTGCACTACTAGGGGCCAAACAATGTGAATCGTGATAAGGATACAATGGTGCAAAAACAAAATCCCTACTCTCAGGTTGCTTCTAGTTTAGTAGAAAAGACACGTTAAATGAGGACGTAGACGAATCAGTCACTGCAAGCAATGCTAAGGAAATGCATCGCTATGATCATAAGTATAAATCACAAGGAAACCCAAGAGAAAAGCTGGGGATATTAACTGTGGGCAGAGGGAACCATGCATGAGTCTAAAGGCCGCGAGCTGGGAGGAGCTTGGTGCCTTTGAGGAACTGAGGACAGAAATACAAGTGTCCCAAAAAAGCAGCCAATGAAAGTGACAGAGGTAGGCAAAAGCTCTATTATCTGTTCATTTCTGTGCAACTCACATCTTCTGAAAGACACCAGCAAAAATTAATGAAGGAAGAAAATGATTAGTCACAGATGATTCTCTATCTGAACTCTTTGTTTTATTAGCCAGATATTATGATGGTCCCTTTAATATGAAATTAATGCTGGGGGTGGGGGAGGATGGTCATCTGAATACACCCATCATTAACACTTTCCAGACACCTCCCCACCCCACCCACTATCATCAATGACAGGGTCATAGGGATTGTTGCTTAGCATGCTTGGAGCACTCCCATGGAGAACCTCTGCACAGCGTGTTCAGGACAACTTGATAATTCAGTAGTATCGGTATGAACTCAGAATAAACCCAATCTTTAGTTTTAGAGTTAAGTGTACACTTGAAGAAAACACAATTTTCCAAAGTATGCTCATTATTCTTAAAGTCAGTTCAAGCTTGACGAGTGAACATAGTGATAAAGAGGTGCCACGTAGCCATTTCTGTCAAGAATGGAGGTATTCTTTCCTTTGTCAATGAGGGGAAAAACATTATAAATCACAAATATGTTTAGAAGGCCCAGGCTTGATAAGAATCTTTGCTGTCTATTCTCAAGTGTTTTTAAATATAGAGACTTTGGTAATTTTCCTTTCCTAGTGACTGACAGCATTTCTTGATTTATCTTCATTACTTTGTCTCCACAGTAACTCAAAGGGACTTTTTTTTTCTGTGAAAATATTAGTCTTCTAAGGATAGTAAATCCATTTGACATTTAGAGATCAACTCTGAATTCTGAGTATAGTTTCATAAAACTTTTAGCATCTGCATATGAAAAAAGTAATTCCAACATATTTAGTTCCATTAAAATAAACACAAGAGGTGACATAACCAGTTTCCTGCCGGCCACACCAAACCTAGAGAGTCTGGGAAGAAAATGGTACCAGTATCTTCTCATACGTGATCTCGAGGCCTTTGAAGTAAATAGGACTAAGAAAACATCTTCAATTTTGATTTTAGCAGCATAATAAAATTATATATGCAGCTTTATTGTTTGTATTTAGATAGGTTTATATTAATGTAATCACCATAGAAAATTACTCTTAATGCTTCCAAATTCCTTCGGCCTTGGTTATTTGTGTTTTTAAAGCAAAATCAGAATGTGGCTGCATATTGCCTGTTTCAGTACTATCGTTTTGCATCTATTTACTTTTAATCAGTTAATGGAACATAGCCAGACATCAAGGTCAGCTGACGGAAGAGAAGAATTTAGGCATCTGTGTGTGGTCATGGCTGCAAAAGACACTCATGGCAGTTGTCACTCACTTTGGGTCTGTTTCCTCAAATATACTTGTCATACTCCATTACCGCTCAGACCTACTGCGAAGATCAAATAACCCAGTATTTAAAAAGTGCAGGATAGGGATGCCTGGGTGATTCAGTTGGTTAAGCGTCTGCCTTCGGCTCAGGTCATGATCCCAGGGTCCTGGAATCGAGTTCCGCATTAGGCTCCCTGCTCAGCGCGGAGCCTGCTTCTCCCTCTCCCTCTGCCTGCCGCTCTCCCTGCTTGTGCTCTCTCTCTCACACACACAAATAAATAAATAAAATTTTTAAAAAAATAAGTGCAGTATAGATTGTACGTCATTATTAATCATTATATGCTAAACTACACCTTATAATCAAAATCATGTCAGTTTCTGAACATTAGATCACTTTAGGTTCATTAACGAGGCTCAGGAAGTGTCATCTCATAGCAATTCTGTTGGACTAAGATATCTAGATATTTTAGTTGTTAGCACTAAATTAAGCATGAACCACCTTGCCCTAGACATTCAGTTTGGGCTCCTGGTAAAATAGTGTGCAACTGTAGTGGTCTGGTGCCTTGATATTGAAAGTGTAGTCCATGGACCACACAGTATTGGTACCACCTGAGATCTTGTTAGAACTATCGATGCCTAGCCTCTAACCCACACCTCGTGAGTTGGAATCTGCTTCATAGCAAGACCTTTAAGTGATATGCATGCACATGAGAGACCTAGAAGTTCTGTGGTTGAGGGGTTTGTGCCATCACAGGGCCGTCATGGGAAGTTAATGATCAAGATCACAGTCCGTGGGTCCGAAACTTCTATTATTTACTACTTGTGTGACCTTAGGCATGTTACTGAAATTCTGCCTTCTCATTTTCTTCCTCTATAGTGTCTACCTCAGGAGACTAAGTGAGATTTTGAAGACTAAATGGGTCAATACTTACCAAACACTCAGAATAGTGATATTCAATACCTACTAGTTATCAGATAAGCATTCAGTAAATGCACAGATGAGACCATTGACATATTATGTGGTGTCTAAAAGTCACTTGTTAAGTAATCAGAGCAACTATAAATGTAAAACCTCACAAGATAATTAATAAAATGATTCATTGATTTGTCTCATTTCCCCATGGATAACTGATCAGATACATTACTTTGAGCTGCACTTACCATTGTGCAGGGCTATGAAAATCAGTTAAATCTCTACAGCTAGAACTTTCTGTTCTTTATCATCTCCCCCTAACGCCAGGGCAGAGATGTTTCTTTCCTTCTTATGGCTGACATTAATTCCTTAATAGCTAGTGCTAAGAATTATCCAGTCAAGTCAGGCTCATTCTTTTTCATACAGGCAATGTGTCTTTTCAACATGTGTTTTGATGTGATGCTTAAAGTT